TATTGCTGAAACTATTGCCTTGGGAAAATGTTTTATTAATTCTCTGGTAAACTACCCTTTGGGCACTAGGGCACCAGGCCTGGAGTCAGGAAGACTCTCTTACCAATTTCAAATTCAGCCTCAGACACTTATTAGCTGTGTGACCCTGGGCAAGTCACTTCACCCTGTTTGCCTCACTTTCCTCGTCTGTCAAATGAGCTGGAGAAGGAATGGCAAACCTCTCCAAGAAAACCCCAAATGGGACCACAAAGAGTCAGACACGACTGAACAGCAATTACTACCATCCCGCCTGAGACCACAGCATTCTTCCTTACTCCATCACAGTGTTGGCTCTGAACTTGCAGTCCACTGAAACCCACAGATCATCTTCTTGGGAGAACCTCGTCTGACCAAACATCCTCCATCTTCTTACCTGTGGGTTCCAAACCAATCGGCTTCCCGAGCGAAGGTTTCTGCGAGCAGCGATCTTTACATCTTCCACAATGGGAGCCGGACTGAGGCCGTCTGGGCCCCCCAAAACGAGGGCTTTCTTCTCTTTTCTTCCTCCCTGTGCCTCTTCTCCCTCCCCACCCCACCTCCACCCCATGGGCGTCATTTCATTCCTGTCTGGCCAAGAAGAATTATTTGTAGTTTAATTATTCTACTTACTGATGGAGCTTCAGGACGTTTAATCTAACTCCATTTTACAGATGAGGAAACTGAGGCTGAGGGAGGTGACACAGTCCAGGGGAGAGGGAAGGAGGCAAGCACCTGTTAAGCACCTTTCTAAGGGCAGTGTGCTCAGTGCTTTACAAATAGGATCTCATTGGATTACGTAAAGGAGAGAGCTCCAACAGGCCAGGACCTGGGTTCAAATCCCTTCTCAGAAGCTTCTTCTGTAATCTTGGGCAAATTATGCAGCCTCCTGGATCTCAGTTTCCCCGCCTATAAAATAGGGAGCTGGAGCTAGACCTCTGAGCGCTAGATCTGTGAGCTTATGGCCGTATTTAATGCAAAGCGGAGTCAAGGTAGCAAGCAAATGGGTGGGGATTTGAACCCAGTACCCCCAGCTTCCTCACTGTACTGGCCATCCTAGCCCATCCTTTTCCATGCCTGCTCCTTTCCCCCAGAAGCATCTTTGCAGACTGAGGCTAGAAAAAGTCTCTTCTATATCGAGGCAGCTCCATTTCACGTGCATCCAAATAGAAGACGCCCCGCCTCTGGTCGGCCGGCTCTATCTGTAAAGAGTGGGGTTTGCCGCAGAGCTGAGGCCTGGGAGGCCGGGCCCCAGAGCAGGCCTTGCTCCATACAGGCCCGGGCTGTGGTTGCTGTGGGGCTGGAGAAGAGAGAGAAAGTGGGGGTTTCCCGAGGTGCCCCTGAACCCTCGCCCAAGAAGAGAGAGCAGAGAAAACGCTGAAGCTTGCCCTTCCCCTCCGGTGGAGGGGCCCTGGTGGTTTTTTCCCCCTCTCCACCTCTTGGCAAACAAAGATTATCACCTCCATCTCCCCTGACACGGCTGTTTTCTTTATTCTGTGGTGGCTTAAGTCACACGAGAAGGTGTGGAGCAATGAGGCTGAGGCAGGGACAGATTGCTTAGAAGCCTGCTTCTGTGCCACCAGAGTCGAGGCTGATGCCTCCCCCACTGCACCTAGGGTAGGGTGGAGGGCCGGTGCCCTAGGGCGCTGGCATTCAGGGGAACTCATCCTCCCCGTGGCAATCTGGATAATGCAGGGGTTGTTAGGGCCTGCCATCTCAGTCCCAGGCCTCCATCCCTCTCCTGTCCCTGGTGGGGAGGGGGCACCCTTTTTCTTGGCATCAGTATGTGTAGGACCCACCCCCACCTCGCTTTGCTAGACTTGGCCATGCTGCTGTCCACTCTCCCCTGCCACAGCTGCTCTTGCGTCCTGGTCACGGTCCCAGCCCCAAAGCCAAGGCTGCCTTCCCCTAAAGGCTGGCTGTGAGCCAAGGCTTCCCAGCCCCGGGGCAATCACAGACCCCACCCAGGCTTCCCTTTCTTCCCTCTCTCCTTCCAACCTAGTTCAATCAACAAGCATTTATTATGTGCATACTGCGTAAGCAGAAATGAAATAATTCCCGATAAGAAAAGCTTTCCGTGTGCATGAGAAGCTATGGCTACAGGCTATCTGCTCCGCTATCTACCAGTAACCTATCAGCAATGAGAGCTAGCATTTTCATAGCGCTCAAAGGCTGGCAAAGCACCTCATAGTATAACCTCATTTGAGCCTCACAACAGCCTGGGGGGGCTGGGGAGGCACTGCAATGATCCCCATTTTACAGATGAGGAAACTGAGGCAGAGAGAGGCTAACTTGCCCAGGATCACACAGCTTGCAAGTGTCTGAGGCTGGATTTGAACTCGGGTCTTCCTGACTCCAGGTCCCATCCCCTGTGTCATCTAGCTGCCCCCAATTTATGCCGCATGCTAATCAGTCAGAAGGGAAAGCAGGCTAGGCAGTTTGCCAGGCAAGCTAGAGGAGGGGTAAGGTGGGGGAGGGATGCTAGAGGCCTTTTTCTCCATTGGCGACCTCGCCCTATGACAGTCCCAACTTTGAGCCTGTTGGCTGCCCCACAACTGTTAGGAGGTAGAACGTAGGATAGAATTAGTCATTGTATCTCCACAAGGCCTGGCCCAGAGGCAAGGGCTTGTTGACTGACTGATGGTAGCAACTGAATGTGGAGGCTAAAGGGATTTAGATCCCCATCCTAGCTGTGCGACCTTTGGTCGGTCACTTAACCACTCTGTTCAGCATTGGTATCTTTAATGAGGAATAGGCATGGGAAAAGGACTACACCTGAGGTTCGGGTACCTCCCAAGGCTGTTATCAGCAATCAAGTTAGATGGTGCCTACACAGCCCAGCTCGTTAAATTAAATGTCAGCTATTACTTAGAGACCAATTAGTTTTATACACTGGGAAATATGCCAGGCCCAGGGAGGCTAAATTCATCAAACACTCATTAAATAAGGGCTCTATAAAATGGGGCTCAAGTTTCCCCAAGTGTCCACCCACCCCCAAACAGCCCTGGAAGGTAGGGTCCTGGTATAATTCCAATTTTATAGATAAGAAACCGAGACTCGGCGATGGAAGGACGTGCTGGCAATCTTGGCCACCTCCGGAGCCAGGCTTCTACCTCCCAAATCAGAGGAAGCAACACATCCTTGGTAAACCGAGGACTCAGTCCCTAAAGAAAGGCAGTCTGAGGATCTAACTGTACAGGCTTTCCCCACCCCCACCCCACTGCCCTCCAGTTAGTCGAAGGTTTCAGGACAGTCTTCATGATGGTTCCTGCGACAGGTTCACCTGGCTCTCTGGGAAGAGCCGAGTTTGGATTCTTCCACTTACTCCCTGCGTGACTTGGGCCAGGCCCCTTTGAGCCTTAGTTTTCCCTCTAGGAAGAGGAAGGGGCTGGACTAGATGGTCTGGAAGGTGCCCCCCAGCTCCCAGGGGTTGCTAGGTTTTCCATACAGCCAGAGGCGGCTCATTGCCTCCTACACGATCGCCAATAAGGGCTGCTCTTCATGCACTTTTTCCTGACCTTCTGAGCCACATGGGCACAGCCACCTTCACAAAGAGCCCCCCTGGGTCACGTCCGTCTCAGTCAGCCCGACCTCTTCTGTTCAGACTTCCTATCGGCTCCTTCTCTCCAAACACCAGCCCGGCCTTTTAGATCCGGCTCCCCTATTTATTCTCCACTCAGTCCCTTCTCCTGGCCCCAGGTTACAGCCCCTCCCCTCCCCTGCCCAGTTTAATACAAGACTCCTGTCACAGAGGCCCTCCGGGTCACCAGTGTACCCACAGCCTGCTTGTAGGACCCACTGCCGTTGGCCAGCTGAGGCACCATAACACGCCAACGCCGTTGGGCCACAAAAAGGAGAGATCTTCGAGAATGGGAAATGGGACAATCGCTGCAAAAGAAGCAGCCCATGTTTTTCACCGCTACTCCCTCCTCCCCAGAGGCACCATCCGGTAGAGGACTTGACCCCCAGACAAATGCCCCAACAGATAGTCCCAGCAGCCTCGTCAGAGATCGAGGAGGACGACCGGAGGAAAGTCACTTCTCACACACGGGGCAGAGCTGACGCTCCAGTGGGGCCTGCTTGAAGCCCACTCCCTGTTTTGCCATGCACCGTGCCCACCCAGAGTCCGACTACACAATGGGAGATGCTGGTGGGAGTTAGGGAGTAGAGGCGGTGGCGACAATAGCTGAAAGCCAGAAGGCAGGTAGAGCCAAGAGCTCCCTGTAGCCTATGTAGGCAGAAAGGATGCCCCCAGGCATCATGGGCACAGTGCAGCCTCATCCCTATTTCTGTGAGCTAATTTTGTGCCAGACCCAAGTACGGCTCTAGATCAATTCTGGTTATGAGAAAAGTCTGTTAGAAGAAATGCCTACCAGCCTGCAGGCCTTTTTGGTTTGAGGGAGGGTTTTAGTCATTGGCAGCCCCAGGGCCCACTTCACCTTGCATTCTGGGGACGCTGCAAACCTTTTTACCCTGGGAGCTCTGTGTGCTCCAATGGCCTCAAGACTGACCTTGGTTCTGGCAAACTTGGCGGGAGCAGCTCCAGTGCTTTGGGGTAGGGGCTGGAGATGAATTTTAGGGGAAATAGAGACAGCTTCTTTTTGAAAGACCCAAATTGGTGTTCAAGAAAAGAACAATGGGGCAGCTAGGTGGCACAATGGATAGAGCACCAGCCCTGGATTCCGGAGGACCAGAGTTCAAATCCCACCTCAGACACATAACACTTACTAGCTGTGTGACCCTGGGCAAGTCATTTAACCCCATTGCCTAGCCAAAAAAGAAAAAAAAAGAAGAAGAAAGAAAGGACGATTTTAGCAGAGACAAAATAGAGGAAAGACTCACAGGCAGGGCATCACACAGTGGATCACACACTGGACCAGAACCAGAGCCCTTAAATCCCGTAAGGCGCCACAGATGGGGAGATCCTCTCAAATCAGGGTCTTTGCCGCTCCCAAATCAGAAGAGGACACCGTTGGTGCAAAATGTCAACATTTGGGTTTATTGACACATTCCCTGCTCTGCTCTCGAGCCTTCTGGCTCCTTCCAAGGAGCGCTGCCACCACCAGCAAGATGGCGATAACCACCAGGGAGAAGGTCACCCACAGCAGAGGCTTCAGGGTCGTGTTCCAGGAGGATCTTTCTGGAAGAAGGGGCTCCGAGACGTTGGGCCGCAAGATGACAGATCTCTCCTTGGAGTCAGGCTCCGTGGAGGGTGAAGCTATAGCATTTATGAGCCACTCCCAGTTAAAACTGTGAAGACTCAGCACAGTCCTAAGATTTTAGCCAAAGGAACCCAGAGCAACCTGGACAGGCCAGTTGTCAAGGTCTACGTCAAATGTAGACAGAGGTCATGGGGAAGTTGTAATGCCCTCATCTGAGGGGAATTTTTTTGCCCAGGTCACATCCTGGGGGTAGTTCTTGACCCAACGGGACATATGCATGTGTCTACGTGCCCCCCCAACATATACCCCAGCCCTCCAACACTCACCTTTATTGTGCAAGTTAATCTTCCGTTTGCTAGAATTCCCAAATTCCACTGGTCCTGGAGAACCCACAATGTCCTGGACTCCTTCCATGTAATTATGGCCATCTACAAAGCGCCTCCGCTCTGTGGAAAGCGAAGTCAGAGGTGCTCTGTTGCATATGCCTCCGAGATTAGGGTAGCATCCCAGCAGGGCAGTGTTGTATTATACAAATGGGGAGGGACAGACGTGCAAACCGGGTGACCTGGTACTCATGCCTGAGAAGGAGATGCCAACCCCCCCCACAAGACCCCAAATCTAAAAACTCACTTGTACTCCCTGGGTAACATACAGCCTTGCAAGTTTCTGTCTCAGAAGGATAGCAGGCAGAAGCTCTACAGAAGAAGTAAACCTGGGCCAAGGGAGGAGGGGAAAACAAAAAACTGGTCATCTTCCCAAGTCAATCCACCATGACTGGTAGCTACCGTTGGTGTCAACACTCTCTAATCTAAGCAGAGTTTGGAGGTCCTGCAGGGTCTGTCTCTCTGTCTCTCTTTTTTTTTTTTTTTTTTGATACCACGATGAGGCATTGGATTAGTATTTTAATGGATCAGAGTTGAGTCCTAATTTGAAGAACACAAATATAGGGTAGTCTACATAGCAAGTCATATTAGAGCAACTTCTAATGGTACCCCTACGTGGCTGGGTCTAGTCTTCCGTTAAGAATTGGAGGGTATTTGACTACCATGGTTTCATTCTCCGCTTAGAGACAGAATTCTGAGATGGGCTGATCACGGTAAGTGTTCCCATTACATCTGAGTAAGTAGAACTGATTTCAAATGTTTTGTTCAATACCACCCATGTGGGGTGGTATGCTTCCACAGAAACATAAGAGTTAATGCTGAGGGGACAGCTAGGTGGTGCAGTGGATAGAGCACTGGCCCTGGATTCAGGAGGACCCGAGTTCAAATCCGGCCTCAGACACATAACACTTACTAGCTGTGTGACCCTGGGCAAGTCACTTAACCCCACTGCCTAGCCAAAACAAACAAACAAAAAAAAAACAAAAAAAAACAAAAAAAACAAAAACAAAAACAAGAGTTAATGCTGAATGAGACCTGAAAAGGTCATCTTGTTCAATCCCCTTATTTTACAAATGAGGAAAGCGGGACCCTAGTGACTTGTCCAAGGTCACGCTGATAGTAGATGTCTGAGGCTGGATTTGAACCTAGGTCTAAGAATCCAAGCTATCTTCCTCTGGAGAGGCCCAGGGCTATGGGGACCATAAAACAGGTATATGATCATGTCACTCTCCTATTCAATAACCACAGTTATCTATTATCTCTAGGTTAAATTATAAATTCGTCCGCTTGGCTGTGCTTCTGACTCTCCCAGACCTTACGGCCATGTCTTCTTAGCCTGGTATTTCCCTCAGCCCCTAAGGCCTTCTCACACTGGGATATCCCTCCTCCATGCCAGTCCTTTTGTCCTGCTGGCGAGTTTTTTCCCAGGGACTTCTATAATAGGGACAGACCCAGACTAGCCACGCTTTATTCAGGGACCATCTCTTGGAAGGTGACTAAGATCAGCTTCTGGAGGCCAGTAGCCAAAGATGGCAGTCCAAGAAGGGGGATTGGCCCCTTGCCTTGACTCTGGGGGAAGCAGCATGGTGTCTGCTATTGAACTCGTGTCCCTTCGAGGATCTAGTTCTCGGCTAGATCAAACCCTTCCCTCATGTGCCCTGGCTCCCTAAAGCTGAACCTTAAGACCATAATGGAGCATCTCGAGTCTAGGGTTAAGGGGGTCAAGCGGGTGCATTCAAGTACATTAGAGAGCCGACGTTCAAGAGCAAAATTTCAAGTTTGGGGCAGTCTACTAGAATGACGATACCCAGAACTGCCCGTGATGTCACCAGGGACATGTTCTGTCCTGGTGAAAGGTAGTCATGGGCCTTAGACTTGAGTAGGCTCTTAGCCAGCAGATGCCAGTGGCAGAGGAATCATCCATGGGACCTCCGCAGAGGAATCTCCCATTCCTTGAGGCCAGCTTCTCAGGGCTATGCTTCCAAGTCTTGCCCTCCTCTCTCCAATCTCTTCCTGCTCATACATCTGTCACCCTAAACTGGGCCCTCGCCACCTTTTGCAATGGCCTCCTAACTGGTCTCTCTGCCCCAATACTCTGCTTACTGCAATCCATCCTCCACACGGCTGCCAGAGGGAATTTGTGAGGTTCACGGCTCTGACCGTATCACCCCCTCCTGTGAGGTAAATTCCAGCGACTTCTATAGTGTTCTATTATGTCTATAGCAGAGGGACAGATTCCTGCTTAGCATTTGAATCTCTTCACACCGACTCCTCCCTGCCTTTGCAGTCTTCATACACCTCTCCCTCTCATCATACTCTATGGTCCAGTCATCCTGGCCGGTCTGTCTCCTATCTCTGCCCCTTCGGTCCTCGAAAGCAGCCTTTCCTCCTGTCTGTTCAGAACTGAGCCATGGTCCTTACCGGTCCACTGAGAGCCCTCTGGGAGACCGAGTCAACAAAGGTAAAAGTGGAAACAACGAAACGCTGATAATGAGTTGGGAAAAGGAGCTCTGATGTACCCTCCACAGGTGCCAACCGGGTCTTGTAGCCATCTCCAGCAAATGGGCATCTAGGGAAGATATCAGCAAGAACTTAGCCATGCCCTGCTGGGAAGTCAGGCCCTCAACTAGCCACTCACCTATCAAACAGAAGATGCCACTGAGGTTCCTTGAAGAGATTGGTGCTGGGGGTAGCCCAGCAGTGATGCAGAACCAGCACCAGGTTGGGGTCCGTCCTCCCGAGGAGTCGCACCTCTACGTGTACGGGTTCCCGAAGCATCTTGAAAATGGGGTAGTCCTCCACGTGGTAGTAGGAGCTGTATTTCTGATCTATGGTTGGGAGAGGAGGGGGATCTTATGAGCCTTCAGGCATAGACACTGGTATAAAAGGTCTGGGGATGGTAAGACAGAGGTCTCTTTACCTCTGGCAATTCGAAGCTCAAGGTGCAATGGGCCAGACCCGAGCGCAGGGACAGATGACGGTGGCAGGAGGACCTCCATCTGGAGGGGCAGGAAGCTGCTGGCATTGTAGATGCAGCGCACATGGAGACTGTAGTGGGGCGAAAAGGTATAGACTAGGTTGTCAGAAGATGTAGCCTGGGGGCGGGCTCACGCCTCTTACCAAGCAAAGCTGAATTCACATTGTGCCAAGGAGCTGGGACAACACAGCTGGACGTAAGCCATCTGCAGAAAGCTAGAGCTCCTCAATGAATCCGTCAGTCTTTACCCAGCAAGGAAGCACACCTCCCTTCTGAGAGGCGGTGGACTACAGGGAGAGAATGGGGCATACGTCCCTTGAACAAGACAAAAACATCATCCATGACTGATTCTATGCTATTACAAGGGTGGGTTTGGAAGTCGCTGGAAAGTTAACACATGCCTCAGTAAAATAACAGCAGGTCCCAAATATACTTGAGGTGGGCATGAGACCAGGGTCCAGGGAGATTTCCTAGTGCACGTCTCTAATTCACTAGATTCTGCCTCAAAAGCACAATGGGCCTAGAATCAGAAGACCGGAGTTCAAGTCTGACTTCAGACACTTCCTAAATGTGCGACTCTACTGGGCAAGTCACTTACCTCTTGTTTGCCTCAATTTCCTCATCCGTAAAATGGGGATAATAATAGCACCTATCTCCCAGATTTGTTGTGAAAAATCAAATGAGATAATATTTAATCTCCAGCTACCCTGAGTTAAGCCCCAAGGAGCCAAGATGAATGAGGAGAGAACAGAGGTCATTCAACAGAAGAAATGTAGGCTCTGAGGGGAATGTATTTTTCCAAGGTCTCATAGGCGGGAAGTGTCAGAGCTTTAGTTCTGATCAAACTCAGTGACTGCTTACCATGATGTCTCCCTGATACTTATGGGTAAGGGGGTAAGTCTTAAGAGGAAGTCACAGGCCAAGGAGAACCCCTCTGGGTCTCACCAGGATCTCTAATAGCCATGACGTCCTGTGCCTAGGACCTCCCCTTCCTGCCTTGTAGAGTTAAAATGGACAGAACTACGGTCATTCCTTCTTGTTCTATCCTTCCCAATCCAGACTGAGGAAGAGGTCCATCTTTTCTTCACTCCCAAGTGAACGTCCCTTTTCTATTCCCACCCCTCATTTCACTCCTCTGGGGAATGTGACCTGAGAAATATTCTGGCCTCCAATTAATCTGGGGATGAGACTAGCTCACATTTAAATGGTGCCTTAAGGCTTGACAGCCCTACTCTCATAAGCATCTACAAAGGATCTGCCATTATCCCCGTTTTGTAGGGAGCCCCCCAAAAGGACTCAGGCCTAGGACTATATAATTCTGAAGTTATACTCTCTTATTTCTAGCCCTTATTAACTAGGTGGTGACAAGGGCCGAGTAAGCTACTAGTAATGGGGCATGGATAGAACAGCCTTCCTCAAGTATTTGAGGGGCTGTTACACAGAAGAGGGGCTCAATGATCACTAGCATTTACATAGCACCTACTATGTACCAGGCATTCTGCAAAGCGCTTTACAAATGTCCTCTCTTTCGATTTTCAGAACAAACTTGGGAGGTACATGCTATTATTACCCCCATTTTACAGATGAGGGGATTGAGACAAACACAGGTTAAGTGACTTGCCCAAAGTCATGTAGCTAGCACGTATTCGAGGCTAGATTTGAACCCAGGCCTTCCTGACCCCAGGTCTGGTGCTTTATCCACTGAGCCACCTAGCTGCCCCAATGAGATTTGTTCTTGGTGGTCGAGGGTTTCAGACCAATGGGTTGAAGCCCATTTCATGTAGTAGAGGGAAGATACCAACCATCAGAACTGACAAAGAGCCAGGGAGCTCATTATCACTAGCTGACCTTCTACAAGAAGCAAAGCTATTTATTAGAGACGTCAAAGGGATCAGGGTTCAGGTATGCACGCTTCTAGTCTCATTTCTACAGTATCGTTGCCAGCTTGGCCGTAAGTTCACAGATCTAAAGTTGGAAGGGACCTTAAAAGACCAAGTCCATCTCCTTCATTTTACAAATGGGTAAAATGAGGCACTAAGCAGGTAAGTGATTTATCTAAGGTCCCACAGGTAGTAAGAGGGAGAGACGGGATTTGAATCCAGCTCCTTGGATTCTAGAAACAATAATCAGGCTGCTTCCCTGAATGTTATTGTCCTCCATACCACAATTCCTGGACTCATTCTCTCAGCTGGATCGTAAGCCCCTTGAAGGCCAGGACTGACCTTTATCACTAGAGCGCCAAGCAGGGTAACTCAGAGAAGAGAGAAGCCAAGGCCTCCTACGCAGTAGGTCTGTAGAAGGACAGCTCAGGCTCCTGTGCTCGGTGAAGGCGGGCATCTCTCACTGCCTCCGAGTACTTAGGACCTAGCCCAGCCGTGGTAAGAGGCTCGTTCTCTCCAAGAAGCGGGGGTCTTCTACGGATGTGGGATCTTGCCAACATGTAGGCCCTGAGCAGTGATGGGAGTCTTCTCCGACCCCATCCCTGCCTCCCTCTGGAGGGTTTCGGGGCAGGATCTGTACCTTTGGCTTCCCGTTCCTTGGGGCCAACTCAATGTTTCTTTACCAGTACTGAAACCAAGGCCATTTGCTACACGGAGCAGACATCTTACTTTCAGATTAAGACTTTTGCTTATTACTATAGTTTCTCAGGAACGAAATCTCCTGACCAAAGTTCTTGCGTGGCTTCCAGATACCTGTTTTCATGCTAAAAGGAGGCCTCCTTTTCCCCTGCCACCGTCTCCCATCGCTCTCAATTCCCCTGTAAGGGCCTGACTGCGACTAGCGCAAAGGACGCTATTGTGTTCTGAAGGCCAAAATTCACATCCTGGCCCATTTCTGTAACCTTGGACAACTTGTTTTACTTCTCTGGGACTTGGGTCATTGAATCTAATCCCCCTGTACTGCACAGATGAAGAAACCCAGGCCCCTGCCCAGCTCTGAAGCCTGCAGATTGGTGCCCAAACATCCCATGTCCTCTACTCACAGGAAGATACTGTCCCGAGTGATGGCGCCTTCTGGCCCTGTCTGGATATCCATGTCTGACACCAGTTGGTTCTCGTAGATGAGCTGGTTGTCGACCAGCTGGGGCAGGGGAGACAGAGAGAAGCCGGATGAGTGCCTTCACCCACGGGACACAGTAGCCAGGTCACCCCTAGAGAGCCATGCCTGCCCCCTACCTGGATGGTGGTGCCACACTGGGTGACTGGAAAATGGAAGACCACAAAGTCTTCTGTCCTCTGGGTTGGGGTGCAGCCACCCGAAGCATAGGCTAGCTTGATGCTCTCGAGACCAACCTGCTTTTCAGAGGTGGTATTCTGGGAGACCACCAGGACGAAGTGGCCGTCTTCCAAACACTGGACGGTGGCTGGGACGGAGGGCCAGATAACCAAGGCAAGTTAGTGTCAGAGGGATGTCCAGGGGCTCAGAAGCTAAACTCTGGTCCTCACTCTGCTAGTAAATAGCTGTAGGACCTAGGCCCAACCAAGGCATGCAGCTTCTTCACACCTCATTTTCAGAAGCTTCAGCACTCAAGTCCTTGCCTGGAACTTAATCCCTCCAAGGCCTGGCATACTGAGAAATTCTTGAGGGCTGGTGGGGCTTCTAGACCACTCCTTTCACTCTCTGGAGCACCCCTTTTCTTCCTGATCCCCCAACTACTCTCTCCAAATACCTATACACATTAGTATTTATTAACTTTACATCTATGCTATATATGTTTATGTTATTTGTTGTAAGCTTGCCAGTTAGGAAGGCCCGTATCATTCTTTGTACCTGTGCGCCCAGTGCCTCATACTGAGGAAGTATTTAATAAAAATAGCCGATTGCTTAGGGATGGGAATGTACCTGTGTCACCATAGTAACATGGCACCTTGGCATCCGTGTTATCATAGCAGCAACCAGCTTGGAGACAGGCTTCAGAGCGCGCACCTTCTGCGCAGGGGACGCGGCCAGAGATGACCTGGCATTGCTCCCGGCTCAGGGGGTTTCCTGGGATCACACAAAGTCTATCTTGAGCTACCAAGAAGCCGTTAACCCAGCCTAGTTGGATTCCCTACTTCAGCATCAAGCAGTCCAGCACAGATGTTGCACGGGGGCAGGGGTGGGAATTCGCCTCAAGAGAGGGGCGAGTCCGCTAAGAGAGCACCCAGGCAGAAAGAACCGAGGGAAAGGAGTCAGACTCACCTGTGTGATATGGTGAGATCTGATGCACTGAAGTGACAGGGCTGGGGGAGGGAGAAGACCAGGTGGAGTGGGCACGGGAGGGTCGACGGCTGCCATGAGCAGCTGGCAAGAGAGACAAATGTCTCAAGTCCAGGTGAAAAGGGCTAAGGCGAGGAGGAGGATGGAGCCCGGCAGGGGAGGGAGAGAGATGGGAGGCGGGATGAGGGAGAGGACGAGGAGGGCCGGGGCTCTTGGGATGCCCGGCTTTGGGGCAGATCAAGGTCACATTTTGAGCTTCATCAAGCCGAGCGCCCAACATCGCTTCTACAAACACTCCCAAGTGGTACCGGCCATCCTGAGGTAGAGACAGAGACGGGTCAGAGGGTGGGACAGAGTGCGAAGGTCACTCGGCCTCTCACATTCACAGTCCCTCATTCCTAAGCGAGCTCCGACAACCACCTGGCATATTAGTGAGAAGAACACCAGTTTGTATAATGCTTCATTTTGGAGGGAGCACCCTGAAGAAGTCTGGTGTGGTGAAAAGAACACTGGCTCTCGAGTCAGGGGTCCTGGGTTCAAAGCCAACTGTAGATGTTTCCTACTTTGACGACCCCGTTACCTTAATCCCAAGTCACCCCCTTTCTCTAGGCCTCAGTTTCCTCCTCTGTAAAATGAGGGGGTTGGTTAGATAGCACATAAGGCCCACCCAGCTCTAAATCTGTGATCCTAGGGACCTCTGAGCCCCAGCTTCCTCATCTGTAAAATGGGGACATGTGATTTCCAGGTCACACGGCCAGTGTCTCAAGCCTAGGTCCCAGCCCCAAGGTCAATTTTCTGTTTTAAACTGTAGAGGAGAATAGGGTCCTGCCTTGCGCTCAGGCAGGGCTCAGTGATCAGTAGAATAGGCTCATGACTGGGGCAGACAAGGCCATACCCCAGCCCCACCAGCAGAACAGGAAGGAGGGCCTACCTTCTTCATCACGTGACATCCATGGTAACCTGCAGAGAAGATGGTGGGGCCCTGGGGCTCGGAGGTGACCCAGTGGAGACAGATGGAGCAGTTGGTCACTTCAAAGTGGCTCCCGAACTCATCTGGGGGGGAGAGAGGCCCACATATCCATCCCTGCAAGCTGCAGGCACCATACTCGGGCTAGCCAACGAAGACAGCCCTACGCTTCTCACTAGAAGGCCAACCTCAGAAAGTGAGGCACTCTTCAAGAACCCAATCAAAGGCTTGTGAAGTGCCTACTGTGTTCCAGGTGCTTGGGAGGCAAAGGCAGAAATGAACCAGTCCCTGCCCTCAGGGGCTCACACTTGGGTAGGGGGTGGGGGTAGAGAACCCCACCACCATTCAGGTACATGTGCCAAATGTGCAAAGTAGTGAGGGGTTATCTTTTGGGGGGTCCTCTGAACCAGCTCAACTGGTAGGGTCCCCCAATTGGGGTCCTTGGAGCTTTGAGAGAATCACAGCTCTCTCACATCCAGGAAAGGACCTCCTTTACACCAGACAGGAAACTATCCTGCCTCTGATCAAAGACCCCTAGCCAGGGGCCCCTCCTTTCTGAGGCAAGGCTGCTGTCTCCACCAAGCTCCCAAGGCCAGTGGCCCACAGCTTGGGGCCATCTCGCCATGCCCGCCCTCTCCCACACAGTCCTCCTTCTTAGTCAGCCTCAGGCTTCTCAGAATGTTCTTGGACCCCTTGGCTGGCCCCTCAGGAGCGAGGGCACACATAATGTGCCTTTAGTGGCACTATCCAGCAGCTGGTTTCCTGCCCGGGGCAGCCAGTCAGTCAACAAACATTCATTAATGCCTCTGTGCGCTAAGCCAGAGAGAGGAGAGGGGTCCTTGAACCAACAATTCCCCTTATCCTTACACAGCAGGAAGGAGTAGCCCAGGAATTCTCAAGGACTTGGCAAGGATGGTAGGACTTAGAGATCCAGTCAAACCCCCTCATTTTACATAAGGGGAAACTGAGGCCAAGGAGGATTAAGTGATTCATCCCCAGTCACACAGCAATGCTTATAGAGCCAGGATTTGATCCCAGGTGCTTTGATTCCAAACCATCAACAAGCACTTGTTAAGTACCTACTATGCGCCAGGCCCTGGGGATACAAAATGAGGTGGTTCCTACATTCTATCCAGCCAGAGACTAGAGCACCACCTCAAACAAGAGCCACTCACCCACCACCTTGAAACGGATCGTTTGACCAGGCCTCGGGACCACCAGCAGCTGCATGCTGTAGGAGCCACATTCATGGCTGAGCTGCAGGCCCCAGGCTCCAGGTCTCTGGCCCAGGCCAAGTCCCAGAACCAGGAGGAGCAGGTACTCCAAACAGGTTCCCCAACTCATCGTGAGACCTCCAGCCCCTAACCGGGAGGCAGGCCCCATGCCCCCTTCTGCCAACGGCAAGCAAGCTGCAGACCCTGGCTTATATGGATTGTCTGGAAAAGCAGCTGAGGCCAGGAGGAGAAAGGTAGCACCTGGAGAAGCCCCCACCTGCCTCGAGAAAGGGACTGTGTGGAAACTACCACCCTGGGGGAAGGAGGAGACAAGGCCTCCTTGCAGAAAACCCAGCCTGGTCTCCTTCCCTGGGGGTCTCAGTCTGCCACCTGAGGCTGGTCCCTAAGCTCTAGGGGCTTAGACTCGCCCACACCTGCAGGGTGGGGGAAACCATTGACCAATTTTGTGTCTTATTTCCTATGCAGAGCAGATGAGGAGCTGGGAGAGAGAACTGCTCAGTAAACAGGGAACCGAGAATGAAGGGTGGGCCCCGGGCTGATAACGCCACTCTGGCCTGGCATGGCACCCAAGCCCAAGTCTGGCTGATGCCTCTCGGGCTTTGCCTGGGAAAGAAGCACAGTACATGGACCAGGGGTCACAGGACCTGAGATTAGATCCTTCCTCCTCTCCTCCCTGTCCCTGTGTGACCTCGGGTGAGTGACTTCCCCTCTCTGGGCCTCTGTTTTCTCATCTGTAAAATGGTAGGGTTGGACCAGAAAGGCCTCTGAATTACTTCCTAGCTCTATGATCCTGTGATTCTCTAAGCCCTGATCACTTCTTTAAGTGGGTATTATTCTTCTTAATTATATTATTATATTATATTATATGATTATTATATAATCATATATATTATATGATAATATAATTACATATATGTGTAATTATATATAGAATCATAAGTTTTATGATTCTTAAATCATGTTTTAAGATTTAGGAAGTATTTTTCTCCAAGTCAACAAACATTAACTACTTCACAGGCCAGGTTCGGGATTACGAAGCCAAAATGGAAACATCCTGCCCTCAAGGAGTTTACTGTCTACGGACCCCTTACTGGGTGAGGATAGAATTAAAGGTAATTTGAGGGGTGCGAAAATGCCCCCTGCTGGCAGATCAGGAAAGGTTTCCTGTAGGAGGCATCACCTGAGCGGAGCCTTGACAGAAGCCAGACCAGAACCATGTGAGGAGGAAGTGATCCCCCATGGCTGGGGATAGCCTATACCACTGCAGAGAGGCGGGCAATGGGGGGCCTTGAGTTTAGGAAGCGGCTATGGGTCCAGTTCAGCCGGAATGAAAACGTCGTGGAGGGGGATCACCTGAAGTAAGTCTAAAAAGTAGATTGGAGCCGGATTGGAGCTGAAGAGTTCTTTTAGAGGTAACCCATGGCCCAGGGCACCCTAGCTCTAAGTGAGGCCAGGTCTGATTTGGGCACTGGCCCCAAAGATACTAGTCTCTCTTTGGCTTGATAATGCCCGTATCCAAATTTGTTCAATATAGCTTGTGTCTAGGTTCCTACAAATAGAAGTTAGGGTCCTCGGTTCCCCTAAAAGCACTCAAGGTAACATATTTTTGGGGAAGGGATGGCATATTGCCCCTCAGAAGACGCAGAAGGTCAGGAAGGCTAGAAGGAACTCATAAACCATGAACACAATTCTCCCTCTCCAGTGAGTCCTATTTTTCTACGAGACCTTTGGACTCAGTCTCGCCCCATCATGTGGGCTCCCTCAGAATGGACCTGAACGTGGGGTGGCCATGGTGAGACTCCCTCCCTGCCACAGTCCTGCCCAGACCTAGAGTGCTAGCTACTCTGTATTTTGGACCCCCCAAATGATTCTCTCCATTTTACCCATGTGGGTCACGAGGGAGATGTGAATTGCTTAGAGTCATACATCTAGTAAGTGTTGAAATTGAGATTTGAGACCCGGGTCTCTCGTCTCCAAGTTCAATATTCTTTGCACCACACCAGGCTGTCTCCTCAAGCCCAACTGATTGATGCAAGCACAGGAAAAGATCTTAAAGAAATAAAACACAGTGTTAATGGTTCTTCTTATCTTAACATCACAGCTACTCTCCAATGAGTCCTACTCCCAGTATAACCCTCTTAGGAAATGAAGATTGAGCTGTTCAACACAAACAAAACAATACTGAAAGATCTCTGGAGCCCACAGCAATAGTCAAGAAAGGGTTCAGTGACCCACAACATACTCAGGAGGATTAAGGGCTCTGAGATATTTGTTATGACCCAGGAGGGAGATATTGAGGTCACTGTGGGCTGTTCTCTGAAGGCCCTCACTCAATAAATATGCTACTGGGGCCAACAAAACTCCAACAGAATAGGACCCATGAATGTCAGAGCTGGGAAGGGCTGGAGAACATTCATAGGAGGATGTTCTAAGTTTAGGGAATGGTGTGAGCAGAGGAACAAAGTGGGATGAGGGTAGAGGGGTTTTGGGGGGCAGAGAGACCAATTTGTCTGGAACAAAGCATATAGGGAGGAAAAGTCAGGATGATAGGATATGATGAGCTGTGAAAGGTGTTGAGCACCAGATAAAGGAAACTGAATTTGATTTGGTTGGCAAGATTAAGCCGTTGAAGATAGGGTCATACGGTCGATGACGAGTTTGCAATGGATCACTGAAAGAAAATAGAGTTTGTATGTGTGTGCGTGTGTGTGTGTGTGTCTGGGGGTGGTGGTGGTAATAAGGCATCCTGAGCACTCCCACACTTCCTAGAGAATGCAGCCCTCCTGGTCCCTGGTGGCCAAATTCTTAGAAGGCCCAGAAAGCACAGAGGATTGAGGCCTCGTTTCCCAGGCAGGCACCAAGGGAAGGAAAGACATCTGGATTTGGCTTAGGATCCTCGTCTCAGGAGGGGGTCGGAGAGAGTTAAGGCCTGCCAAGACAAAGTCCTGTGTTCTGCCTCACTGCTTCTCCACCCCCCACCCTGCTGCAAAGGACTGCATGTGGTTTGGGTATGCAAATGCTGGAGCCCTAGTAAGGGAACTGGTTAGAGCAGGATGTTCAAAATAACGCAACAAAACACAAACAACCCCCAACTTCTCCCTTGAGTACCTGGAAATTAGTGACTACCGTAATGATATTATTAACATTTTGGGGTATTAGAAATTTCAATCGTTATATTGATGTCTTTTGTTGCAGGCATTTCACACCCAATCTCCGTATTGGACTTTGTGACAAAGAAAAAAGAAAGAAAGAAAGCAAAATTGAGGAAAAAATTAAGCAAAAATATCAAATACTTGTGTATACAACAGAAACTTGTGCATACAATATTCAGTCCTGGTAGGCCCCCACCTCTGCTGGGCAAGAGGAGGTGTTTTGTTATTTCTTTTCTGGAATCTTCATTGGTTTTTTTCCTCAGTAATTCCAAATTCAACCTCCATTTAGTAATCTTATCTTTTACATTGTTGTAATCATTGAGTATGATGTTTTTCCTTGTTTCTGTTTAGCTCGCTCTGTATGAAGGTAGCCTGGCACAGTGGGAAAAGGGCTGGCCTCAGAGCCAGGAAGACCTGAGTTCAAGAACCACCTCTCATATATATTGATCATATGACCTTGAAAAAGTTACTTACCTGGCCAGAGTTCAAGGCAAGTCCCTAAGATGAGAAGGTGCAGACCGGCATGGTTGAAGGGAATTTCCTCACCCAGGAGTTCCTTATATCAGTGAAATCACAGGCCCCAGTCCCTATTCCCAACAGTTCACACAGATTGTTCCCTATATTTGTCCTTTCTTACAGCCCAGCAATAGTCCATTCATATATCAGACTTCTAGTTGCTCTCTACTCGATGGGCTATCCATCCTCTGTTAACACAGAGAAGGCTACTAGGAATATTTCTGTACGTGGTGGACCTTTGCTTCTCTCTTGGTCCATCCCCAGGAGTGGGATTCCTGGATCAAGGGGGATGAGCATTGGTGGCATCATCTTGGCCACACATGGGCTCCCCTCACAGAGTCTTGGAGCTGGAGGCCATCCTGAAGATCATTCAGTCCAAATCGAACCGGGCTCCTCTCTGCTTGCTTTGGCACATGTCCTTAGGCCTCAGTTGACCTTTGTCTTCACTGTCTCTGCTCAGCTTCTCTCTGCAGGTTTTCTACAAACTTTCTCCACACGGTAATGCTCTCTGGGTATTTAGAGGTCATGAAATATTAAGAGTTGGGAGGGAAGTTGGAATAGAAAAACGTCCGAGCTGGAAGGAAACTTCTTAGAGAGATCGCTGGAGTTGGAAGAAGCCTTAGAATGGAGAATGTCCAAACTGGAAGAGACATGGAAGGTAGACTTTTAGAACTGGAATGGACTTTAAATATAAAATATCAGAGCTGGAAGGGACCCCAGAACACACGAGAGGCATCATGCAGAAAAGCTTGCTTCAGGCTTTGGAAGGGTCCCTAGAACATGGATGCTCAACCTGGAAAGGACTTTAGAACATAGAAAATCAAGTGTTAGAGTTAGGAGAGAACGAAGGACGTAGGACTGAGAGTTTCAGGACTGGACGAGATTTTAGAGAACATCCAGTCCAGCCCTCTTATTTTACAGAAGGGGAAACTGAGGTCTAAGGAAGAGGAGTGACGGGCCCAAGGTCACATGTTGAGTGTTGAGTTGACCTTGGGTCTCAGGACGAGGACTCGATACCACTTTAGTTTCAAAATCTGTTCTTTCCAGGTGAGCTGGAGGATGGGTTGCTTGGCCCCTGGCAGAACTGCCCTATCTTCAACCTTTTTTTTTTTCTCTGTTTCCCCCTCATCTCGTCAGCATCCCGCCTTCCCCCAGATCTCCAGCAGTCTCGGAAGTCTTAGCAAGGGGACAGAAAGAGAGGAAGAAGGGGACAGAGCCGGGAAGCAGAGCTTAGGGCCTCCGGGCAGGCAGTGTGGCAGTGACCTGGGATTCCCAGTGCCCGAGTTTGAATTCCAGCTTGGCCCCTTATTACCTGTGTGACCTTGGACCAGTCACTTAAACCTTTTAGAGCCTCAGTTCCCTCATCTGAAAATGAAGGAGTTGGCCTGGATGACCTCAAAGGTTCTCTTCAACTTTATCTTAGACTCTCCTTCCCCAGAGAACCGAAAGTGAGGACAAGAAAGGAATGACCAAACCAATGAAGTGATCAGTACTCAATTTTTAAGCACCCTTCTAGTTCCAGGCACTATGCGAAATACTAGAGCTACAAAGACAAGAATGAAATAGATTCTGCCCTCAAGGAGATTACAATCTAAGGGGAGAGTCAGCATATAACGATACCTGGTTGCCTACAAAGCAGGCTCAAGGAGGCGAGGGGACTAGCAGGAGGGAAAATGGGAGTGGGGGGAAGGCCTCCCGCCCACCCTGGTGATTGGGCCGAGCATGGAAGGAAAACAGAAATCCCAGGAGGTCCAAGTGAGAGAGAGTCAAAGACCTGGAGGTTGAAGATAAGGGGAGGGGGTGTCAAAGAACAGAAGCAGCAACAGTGGGAGTTGCCCCCATTTCTATAAAACTTTAAGATTCACGACCACCCTCTGAAGGTAGATAGTGAAAGGACGTTAACCCCCATTTTGCAGATGAGGAAATTGAGACCCAGGGTGGTTACAGTCCATGACAGGTGTTCATGGCCAGACAACTAATATTAGTCAGACAGTTAATATGTCGGAGTTGTGCCTGAGTCTCCTA